CTATCTATAAAAATAATTCTAACAGTTATTTTATATTATTTTCTCAAATTTTAAACTTGGGTGAGGTTGACCTTGAGAATTGAACGTGTATAAACATATTTTCCGCCAAGTGTAACTTGTATGTCAGGTTGATAGTTGGCAGCCTGTGTTGGAAACAAAGACCGCATCGAACCCAGAGCCTTTCCTTACGGATTCTCCTCTAAAGCTGGTGCAGACTGGAGACTTTTACAAAGTACCTTGGATGATGGGTAGTACATCTGAAGACGGAGCCTTTTTCGGAGCAGGTGAGTCAATTGTTTTTACGTGAAATGCCCAGAACTTCATGCTGGAGACTTGTTGAACAGTCCAAGTACTTATGGAATTAGATTAAAACTAGATTAAATTGTCTCGTAAATTAAGTAATTTTTAATAAATGTTAAGTGGAACACTTGCTAATAAGTGGCGAAAAAGAAATTAATTTTAAACTTATAAATTACCACTCGGTTAAGGAATTCTATACTACAGTATCCCATCTAAAGAAATATAGATTAAAATCCACAAGACTGTCATTTTAGATTTTGTTTTAAACAGACGGAAACAGAGCTATTACGATGAAATCAAGGGTATAATGAACAGATTTTATATCAATATTTTAATATTTTCCGTCAAATCACAATTTTTAATAAGATAATAAAATTGTGATTTGACGGAAAATATTAAAATATTGATATAAAATCTGTTCATTATACCCTTGATTTCATCGTAATAGCTCTGTTTCCGTCTGTTTAAAACAAAATCTAAAATGACAGTCTTGTGGATTTTAATCTATATTTCTTTAGATGGGATACTGTAGTATAGAATTCAATTTTTCTGTTCTGATATCGACAGCCTTGATAACTGACAACTCCAAATTGAAGGAATTCAATGAACATATGGATGTTGATGGGCCGAAAGAATTTTTCTTGGATCTAAGTTTAAATGAAAGTCTTATTCCGGAAACCTGGAATCGAATACGCGACTTCTATTTTGCAGACAAGAACACTGCTCATCCAAAAGAACTTATTAAGGTAAGATAGACACGTATGCCAGATATGCTCAGTGTTTCTATGAGTTCAAGGATAAAACTAACTACCAAGTACAAATATCATTATCTGCCACAGTTTTACATAATATGCTCAAAATACCAAAACGCACATACATGTTTTAAAGATAAAGTTAGTTGTACAGTGACGATATTTGGCGATACGTAACCCGGCAACCAACGCAATTTTCCTCACTGAAAAAGATGTACTGAATAGTTTTTAAATACAGTGATAAATTATGATTATGCCGTATGAAACACTTACTGGAATCCCTAATTTAATATCTTTGTGTGTTAATTTGAACGTAAATCAATACGATGGGTAGTGAAATTTTCTATTGAAAATACAAGGATAGAAAAGGCGAATTCTTTTCTTAAAACTTTAGTCGGAAAATGTAGCCGTCCACTACAAATACTTATCCAAATAATCATAGTTCATATGCATTAAAAATCGATGTCTTGCACGTTGCTTATTCACGAAGTTTTCTAATATCAATATTCAAACAAGCATAGAAAAATATAAAGATTTTTTTTTTATTTTTACCATTAGGAGGACAAAATATGTGACATATAATGTTCAAAACGCTTGGTCTTAAAGAATTTTATTTTGGGAACGTACGAGTTGCGATCGGAAAGTTTCAAGATTGTGTCAATAGAGGGCGAACCGGATGTAGTACGAGATTCTGCCGCTAGGGGGTGCGGCCTACATTCATAGTGAATCAGTGTGCCAGCCGGCATCATCGAATTAGCATTTGTTTCTTAGTTACGGGCGTTTTGGTAGTGCATTACACCGACCCTCCTGCGATTTCGGAATGGCGGGTGCATCAAATTTTGCCAAAGCCTCGCCAAAACGGCTACGGAAACCTATGAAATGCTAAAGCAAGCATTTGGGGAAATACTTCGAAATGGGTCGTGCACAAACTTTTGTGTGGCATTCACGTTTTAAAAACGGCCGAACTTCTGTCGATGATGACGAGCGTTCTGGACGACCATCTTCGAGCACAACGCCCGAAAATGGTACGAAGATTCGGCAGGCCATTCACGAAGATCGACGTCGTACCATAACGACTTGTGCGACATTGTTGGGATAGGCTATGGGACATGTCAGCTGATTCTAAAGGAAGAACTCCACATGCGACGCATCATGACAACGCGCCAGCGCACACCGCCCTCAAAGTTCGGCAGTTTTTGGCCTCAAACACCATGGCCGTCATCCCGCAACCTCCTTATTCGCCGTGTGACTTCTTCCTCTTCCCAAAGATGAAAATTCAGCTAAAGGGAAGGAGATTTGAGACGATAGAAGAGATTCAGGCAGAATCGCAGATGGTGCTTGACAGGCTGACAAAGAAAGATTTCCAGGGATGCTTCCAGGCTTGGCAGCGGCGCTGGGATCGTTGTGTTCACTCCCAGGGGAACTACTTCGAGGGTGATGAATGAATTTAATACCTGAGATAAGTGTACGGGATTTTATAGGCGCAGTCTTGAAACTTTCCGATCGCACCTCGTATGTAAACGATGTATCTAAAATCACTTCTACCTGACCACATATTTACGATATTAAATATAAGCATGTAAATTACGTAGGTTTATCTGTTCCTTCACAGCTATACACTGACCGGTATGTAGTCCATGCAGTCCACAAAGCGGCCGAACTTCATACTAAAGCAGGCCACCATCCGATATATCGATACAACTTTGCATATCGCGGCCAATACTCATATGCAAATCTGGTCGAATTTATGATCATCAGCATGGACCTGGGTGAGTTCTTGCATTAAATTTTCCAAAATATATCATTTAAGACCGGTCAATGTCATTAAACTAACTCAATCTTGAGATGGTAAAGTTTGCGTCATATTTTGATATAATAAAGATATATTTTAAATCTTGTCCGTCTAATCACAATAAATTCTTATTAAATATTAAAATATTACAATAATTAACATTTTAAATATTAAATAATTTAAAATGTTAATTATTGTAATATTTTAATATTTAATAAGAATTTATTGTGATTAGACGGACAAGATTTAATATATAAATGGATTATAGTTGTACAAAATAAATAATTAAACTGTAATAATTTAACGCTCGATAGAATAATTCACAGCTTACAGTGTTTTAAGAATGTTTATAATTGTTATAATTATATACAATACTATATTGAAGCATTCATTTATTGTTATCGTCACTTTGAATTAAAAATAAGAGACAGGTAAATAAGTACTCAGACGTACAACTTCTAGGCTTAAAAGTTACGGCTGCCGCAGACAGAGGATTCTTTGTTAAACAAACACACTCCAGTAATAGTTTTTAAGATTTTAGAGGATTGGGCCACAAGTAATTGAGAATATACAGTCTGAGTAATATGACCAACTGGCCCTTTTACTTGTGAATCTGTATGAAATCCCTTGAACAAAATTATTAACCGGGCATTTGGTTTGGAACAAATGACAGACCAAAAATACATTATAGATTATCTCAGTATTTCCAGAATGCATTGGAAAGAAACCCCATATACGAGGTGCGATCGAAAGGTTGTCCTTTGGAGTTCGTTTTCTAAGAGAAAAATAGTTATAAAACAATATCATGAATGTGTAATCCTTACCATTCTGCGTAGAATTTATACATACAATTTTTGCATGTTGACATTCTGAATGCTTGAATCCGGTCATAATAAGTCCGATGAAGACACTGACAATCTTAAACAGACCTACAAATGTAAGTTTAACCTCTGTATTGCTCCCTTCGCAATGTTAGTGTCACTAGAAATGTTATGCTCATTCATTTGTTTTCCAGATGCTAATTATTGAGATGATTTGCATAATTTCAGGTAAATAAATTTGGTAAAAACACACGTACTCTTTCTTACTAAAACATAATGAGTCGTAACGTTACTCATAAGGAATACCCAAGAATGGTAGTATCACTGAGATACAAACTAAATATCTTTGTACACGTTGATCGAAAGGACACGCAATCGATTCTTCACACATGTTATAGTTGTCAAAATATATTTAAATCGGAGAACAGTAAACAATATATTAAGTGTTAGAAATCTCCACGGCGTACAAATTTTGACTGATATCGTCTAAGGGCGACCGGAACAGTTTCTGTCCTGCACGCTCCCTGCGTCACGCTGGCCTTGTAATCCTGGGGTCTCGGGTTCGATTCCCGGCGGTGCCCGAATTTATAACTTGTGTTGGGCAAGGCCGTGGTCTAGGCAACACGGAGTTTTCCTCCGGGGCATCCCAACAATTACTCCATTCACACACAGAAGAAGGCAATGGCAAACACCTTCTGGATCATCTGCCAAGAACGTATATGAACAGGTCCCAGTCCGAGAAAAGGATGGAAGGATCCTGTTCATATGGACCTGTCGTCAGACAGAACACTAAATAAATAATAAATAAATATGTAGTTTGCTGTGACGTATGTTACAGGCGTGGTTCATCAGGACGACCTCATCTATTTGATTCCGTTGCCAATCTTTAATTTGTGGCTTCCTGGCCATCCGGATCTTCACGTCATAGATACCATGGTCACGCTCTGCGTAAATTTTGCTACTTATGGGTAAGTTTTTATATTGAATTATTAAATCAGGCGCATTACGATTATAGGCTATGTACAACCATTTTCTGTATGGGCACTTTCATGATGCCGAGGCATTATTCTGGGTAGTCTTTTAGGTGGTTACCGACGTTTCGGAATCACCAAGGCTACAACCCACAAAACTGTAATCGACAGTTTCACCACCGTGAGAATCCCAAAATTTGTAGTTTCATCGTGTTTGTGTCTCTTCGTTAATTTATATTGAAAGAAGTACATAATATCCGAAATTTCATTTCCGCAATCACAAGACTCAGTTGACATCATTCAACACCCTTATAACGTGTTTTTTCTGATATTTTTAATATTATATTCCCATCTGTATGTAAGGTTAGGTTACATATCTGCAATTTTCATGAAAATATTATATTCTCCATTCATTCTACATGTCCTGTCCAAATATTAATCCTTGATTTAACTATTATGGGCTTTAATGAGTTCCCTTAACTCTCATTTTCGTATAAGCTCCACAACTGACCGAGAATATTTGCATAATGCCCTTAAAATATCGCTATAGGCTCCTCTCGTGTCAATTACTAAATGTAGTCGGAAGTGTTAAATGTTATCGAAGCACAGATACGGAATTACCAAGCCACGAGACGCCTTTATTCAAGACTGAGAATGAAATTTCGTTTCAGGAACCCCACTCCTTCCGGAGAAAACAGTACAGTGACATGGCAGCCAATTACTAACGGAAAACATTCCTATTTGAATATCGGCCACGACATGTCACAGAGTGCCGGTTGGTATGGCATCCGACCTGTGAAGCTCAAGATGGAGGAATATTTGTATAAGGACCGCATGGAATTCTGGGATTCGCTCCCCCTTGTGGAAAATGTGTGAAATTCTAGACGACGAGAGCTAAGTCACGCGATTGGGCGTGTATTATTCTCTGCTGGTCACTTTGCACAATCACCTTTTTTTTGTGAGTGTTCACGCGAAACGTTTTAAGTGCACCGAAAATTTATCCGTCGTTAAATTGCAAACTTTAAAGGCTCCGCCCTCCCATCGCTTGGTTGTTAGGTTTGCTGCCCTGCCAGTTCTGCGCCATCTTCGCTCAACTATGCTCTGCTGTTCGTGGTGAACACACAATCTAAATTTCATAAATGCACAGTAAAACCTCTGCTAACCGATCCTCGATTATCCGATTCCCGTATTAACAGACCGAATTTCAACCAAATCTGTTGAGATTGGTTTCAACCGTCAGTAAAGCGAGATCCGTGCGGTACGAGCGACAGTTCATTAATCTAACCTCAAACCCAGGTTTTGCTGATTATTATTAACACTTCATGGACGAGGGCAGACTACAGACATTTAAGAACAGTTTCAAAGAATAGAATAGTAAAGTAACTTAGAGCCTAAAAGAGGTCCTGGAAGTAACTATAACCTGTTACTTCTTATGTCCACAATTATAGATTTGGAGCTTGCGTCTTATTTAATAAATTTACCAAAAGCTCGACATCGGAGCAATTACGAATCGATTGAATAAAAATTTACTTGGATATTATCCATCGTCTAGTAATAAAACGTAAAAAACGTAAAACGACGTTTCGGAGATGGGACTCTATCTCCGTCTTCAGGTTCCTACTCAGTTGGGCCCACTAGATAGAGCTAATCCCTATCTCCGGATACGTTTTATATTTACTAGACGATGGATAATATCCAAGAAAATTTTTATTCAATTGACTCTTCACCATCGTCAAGAAGTTTTAGATTTGAATTACGAATCGGTTTTAGAAGGTTTTTAAAAATTCATGATTCAGGTTCATGTTTAGGCTTAGCAAAATTATTCCTTTCGGTTTGGTTAAATGCCCTAAAAATGTGGGGAATATTTTGACTGTAGTGATTTTTAATTTGTGTGAATGTTAAGGATATGACAACAGGAACAAAAGTAAGTAAAGTCTCTGACGTAACCTATATGAGATTTAAACCAGTATCTTAACCATCTAGTGATATTTACACAAAATGCATTTTATAGGATGTGCATTGAAATACGCAAAATCGTAAAGAACTCATTTGGAATCCAGTCTGCAATACTTAAAATTTGTTTCCTTAATTTAATACGTTGAGTCGAATTAAAGAAAGCTTATTTTCCCGAATTTTTAAGCCACTTATCACAGGAGAATATAGATGTTTCTTATACTGAAATTTATAACTAAGAAGCAAATGTTTCTCGTAAGGAATGCTGACAACCCAATTTTAGTTTATTTGGGGCTCATATCTAATTATAACCCAACTGAACACCACATGGGCTTGTTGTTTGTATAACCTGTCTGTTCAGAGTCAATATTATTACTCGGAAGTTGGAAGCCGTGTCATGCTTATGTTTCCTATCCTGTAAACTGCGTGCAGTTCCGACTGCGCGTAGATTCTTGGAGACGTAGGCAAAATACGACATACGACTCAGAATTGCAACGCGAAAGAAATCCAGTGTTCAGATATTAACTTAATGTTAGAAGCGTGGTTTGTACAGTCCAATCAGTAAAATATATTAGGCTACAATGGGGTGAGAGATAAAATTATTTAATACAGAATTTAGGTCTGAAAACTTTTTGGGAAATAACATTATACAGGAGCGTTACTTGAATTGGGTTTTAAAAGTTTATAATTCTGCCATTACACAACACAGACGTATCCTTTTTCTCTTGTCTTAATGTAACACTACATATTTCGGGCTGATTAGCTTATATTCAGGCACTCCTTTTGCGTTTTACATGCTGTTATGCTTTTGCAGTTTTGGGTCGCTTTTAATCACGTCTGTTTTTTTTCCTTTCGAATTAAAGTTAAAAAGTTAAGCTTTCTCTTTAGAATGTTCCACTATTGGGTATGGGTTAATTAGTTACGTCTATGTCAAGTTATATGTCTGTATTAAGATGGCTCATTTGATAAAAGATCGTTTTGATTTTAATATTTAAATGTGTTATAAATAAAATTAATTAATTAAAATTAATTATATGTCTGTATTAAGATGGCTCATTTGATAAAAGATCGTTTTGATTTTAATATTTAAATGTGTTATAAATAAAATTAATTAATTAAAATTAATTATATGTCTGTATTAAGATGGCTCATTTGATAAAAGATCGTTTTGATTTTAATATTTAAATGTGTTATAAATAAAATTAATTAATTAAAATTAATTATATGTCTGTATTAAGATGGCTCATTTGATAAAAGATCGTTTTGATTTTAATATTTAAATGTGTTATAAATAAAATTAATTAATTAAAATTAATTATATGTCTGTATTAAGATGGCTCATTTGATAAAAGATCGTTTTGATTTTAATATTTAAATGTGTTATAAATAAAATTAATTAATTAAAATTAATTATATGTCTGTATTAAGATGGCTCATTTGATAAAAGATCGTTTTGATTTTAATATTTAAATGTGTTATAAATAAAATTAAAATGTGTTAGAACCTATTTTGGCATTACGATTAGAAAGAGTTGAATCGGGAAATATGTCCCTAAACTCATTTTTGTAGGTTAAGTCAGAACGAGATGCGATCCTATAAATCGATTATTGAAAGAAAGAGACGGACTATTGCGAGCAGGTTATAACATGGCGTGACTTGAGTGGGCTCTTTTATATGCTGTGTGTTTTTAATCAAATTAAAATGTATTCGAATTTCAACCATCAATAAATATTTCAATATGGGTTATATCGCTTTTCGATTACTCGTGTGCATATCGATTCGGCAGCGATATAACTATGAAACAGTAGCACAGGTCAGTGATATGACAAAAACGCATGAACTGCGATAATTACACTTCGTGAATAATCTATTATCGCGTACGGACGCATTTGAATGAGGAATGTCTTGGAACACCGGTTGGTCCATTTCTAACCTTCAAGACAACAATGGTTAGGGCGTGGTCACAATGGCTTGAATAACATCTGTTCTTTTTTAGTTTTCCTTAAGAATCAGCTGCTTTAAAGCGTGTGGAGCTTATAGATTGTACGTAAAAATTATTAATGGTTTCATCTTTTTGAAACTTTTAATTTATTAGAAGTTTATCTTCTTCAGTAAATGTGTGAACATAATTTTCCATTACATCACAGTTTTAATGTTCGTTCAGACATTTTTGTATCAGTAGCAGAGATCGACTCACACACATTGTGTGCTGTCCTGCGGAAGGATATAGTTCCAATAAAAATCCTTCCGCTTTCAGCGATGATAAAGAAAACTTGTGTTAGTTTGAAGTGGTGGGAAGATTTTGGCACCACAGAAAATTTGTCAGTGTATCGAGCAATCAATTCAAACCGTGAAATTCTTGATAATTTTTATAAGGAATCAGGAGGGAATTTTGTTGGCTGTGAAGAGGAGATTAAGACTGAACAAGATATGGGACTCTGTTACGTTGTGAAGTCTGGAAGGGTTGTCACAAAGGCAAGGAAGATGTAATTTCAGACGGAGCAATGTAATTACTACACTCTGATCAATGATCATTAATATTGATCATTGTTTAAGTAAAGAATTGTTTTTAAAACAAATTTATGCTAATATACGTCCAATATATGACATAATATTAAAGAATTTGATACATAATAAATGGTTAAGTTTTTATCTCGGAACCTTTAATATCACGACACTAGATTCATTTACCCTACATTACAACTATTTTTGTTAATTTTCAGCTGCTGTATAATTTGTAGAAATTATTATTTTAGCACAAAATTCTCACTAGTTGCTGTCCTATATCGACAGGCAAATTTTTAGTTTTCCTCATAAATTATTTAGACGTGACTTCTTGCTATTTTAACTTAGACGCAAATGAGCACTTCTCCTTCCTATTTGTGGTTGCTGTGCGCCATTGGGATGTATAATTTTGAGGCGATGTAAATTTTGCTGATTTGCTTTTTGAAGCCGTGAAATTTTGTAGGTGGTCAACAGTGATCTGTAGGAAATACTGCCTTCATCTTAAAATAAAATAAAAATAGTCGAATTTAATATAGCAATGCCTCCACATGGATGCTATTAGTCTCGAACTTGAGATTTTCACGGGATGAAGCCATGTGGTCTTCAAGATGGTCTTCAACCTTTTTTCGGAACTTACCGCGTCCATTCCAAACCTTGGCCTATGCGATTAATATTAACGACACAATTTTGCAGTGGGTTAAATTCTTCCAACGGGCTATCGACACTTCAATCCAAATAATTTTCTCAACATTTACGATGATCTCGCCTCGTTTGACTTTGGTCATTTTGTAAAGTTAAGATAAGTTTTAATTAAAGTTACTCTTCAATCATGGACTACATTAAGCGCCGTGAGAACTTCAAATACTATTTAGATTAACTGAATTCAGCCCAACCACGATCCATCGATTTCCTGTGATGGCTGAGGAGGTCAACCGAGCACTGACGAGTTTAACGGAGGTTTTTTTCAAAACGTTCATTACCGGGAACAAAAATAAGTTGTGGTTGTTGTGTGGCTGGTGGGAACAAAGACTCGCACCAGATGGTCTGCGCTGCAGGTATCTTCGAATTCCCAGGGCCTTTAAAAATAAGGTTAGCAGGTGATAGAAGAGTTTGTTAAGCATGTTTCCTGTAAGGGTTGTACAATCATCCCCCCCCTCCAAACACACAAAAACAGTTATTTGTTGTTCACATCTGGCAAAAAGCAAATATTTCTGTGACCACTTTAACTACAGATAATAGAGAGAGAAACAGAGATAAAGAGTTCCAACATAACATTAATTCTAGACGGACCTCCTCCACTCTTCATATCTGAACGATTATAAAAAAGAACACTACAAACATTTCACCCCCGCAAGATCACGCTACACGCGACATACATTTACGAAACAACATTAAATGTGATAACAAAATACAATTGATCTAGAAGAGGATAACTGCAGTTTTTGGCCTCAAACACCATGGCCGTCATCCTGCACCCTCCTTATTCGCCGG